TCCTTGTCGACTCAACTAACTGTTCAGGGTTATGTTCTCTCCAACATCATGTGTAGTCATGGCATGAGTAGACGGCTTACTTCATGTAGTTAGGATGCCATAGTTTCAAAAAGGAGAAACAAGATGTAAGGTCATTGTAAGAAAAATGAAACCTGTGTAATAGTAGAAGGCATAAGATGACCAATAGGAATGATTTATACTCTCTGTCTCGCACGTTTGATGAGCCTTAGAGTTGGAGACTAATGCGTTACATTGTTGGAGAAACTTTCATTTCGTATGAAAGTGGATGAAGAAGAGATTCGTAGGTCAATCTCACCAGATGAGGACGGATGAATCTCGTTGTACTGTTGCCGCTTGAATCTCAGAAGATTCATCTAAACCCAGTTTATCTTCTTATCTATAATGCGATACCCTCGGAAGCTTTCAGCCTCTAGATGCTTAGGTCAGTGTTATTACTTTGAAGCGCTTCGAGAAGTAAGCACAAATAGGGTCCAATTGAATCGTCCTTTAAGCCATCAGTAGATGGTCTCACCTAATTAATCTCTGAAAATTCAATAGTAGGCATGTGTACAAAGTCACTATAGAGTAAATAATCTCTATAACAAACCTTAACAGATGGTTTGACTGACGATTTTTATAAGCTAATAACAAAAATGTATGCCCTTAGGCTTTGTGTTAGTTTTCTTTCGTCGTATGTACATGATTTGACCTCATTTTCGTAACAATGGTGTTGTCAAGGCGACTTATCCTGTACTGAGTTCTCCATCATTGTTTGCAAGTCTTCTTCCAGCGTTAAACCATTCACTAGAGACATTCCCAGACTTTTCGTCAGTATCATCAAGAGAAGCGCCAACCTTAGCACTAAGCTAGAATTCGTAAAAGTGATAAGAAAAGACAATCCTCTGATCAACAATTGGAGCCTCTACTCCTCCACGACCTGGTACCCATTCTTATTCATAGAGCCTCCTTAAATCCATCCGGAGGAACTCAGCCTGTAATGTATTGCGGTAAACGAGGATGTAAAGGGCGTAAAAGGGAAAATGGTGAAAATAAGTAATGGGGATAAAGCGCTATGGGCTAAGACAGGTACGATAAAAGTCTGATGATGGAAGAATGAATGTCAACAATGGCAGAGACCACATTGTTCTGAGTCTCCCTGAGGATTATTATTGCTTGCGTACCTCTTGAGAAGTAAATAAGAAGATGAGAAAAGGCCAGACAAAAACACAACAATCAGTTGATTTTTGGTTGGTTTGAGGCTAAACAAAGTTATTTATGTCAAAAGTAGGCTTTAAGACTACTCACTCGACAAGTTCCAATCAGAGCTTCATGCCGGTTAGCCAGTTGTGCGGCCCTCTGCAACACACCCGGATCCATTGTTCGATGATACAGCACATCAGCCTGGGCCTGGAGACGGGCTAATTCATGTCGCCTAGACACCAAGTCATCATGGAGAAGCTGAAGAATAATAAATTTAATAAATTGTTATAGTTTTCATTGGTATGAGACAAGCAGCGAGTGGGACATTAGAAATGTATGCAATTTTTGGCCAGGTGGGCTGGTCGGTTGGTTACTAGAATTGGCAAATTGATAAGTAGGCAAATAAGCCTTTAAGCAGATCAGTAAATTAGAAAGATGGTTTTTAGGGATTTAAGGTCGATAACTAGATCTGTGAGTCTGTATGTGCGCCTCCATGTGTATATGGCGAAGCATAATACATTCGAAAGAGAACGAGAGAGAGAGAGCTAACTGAGTATAAGATAAGACTTGTATAAAGATTTCCGACCAATATCCTGAGGAATTTAATTCGTGCATAAGTAGGGTTTCAAAACTAGCAGTAAATCAGTTATATGACATGTATTCACTCTATTTGGTTTAAGGTAATGAAGGACTGGTGATTGAATTTTCCCACAATGATATGAATGGAGCTGACGTTTCCATTGCAATTCATATAGGCTTGCTTTCCCAAAGGGTAGTCTCGAAACCATACTTCTGAACGAAAAATAAGTAATGTAGTCGATTGTCATAGCAAATTTAACTTTGCTTCATCGGCAATCCCACCACAGAATGTATATGGGAAAATGCCTGGTCTTTCTTGAAATTCACATTTGCCCTGCGACCTAAGGACACTCGTGGCAATGTGGCGCAGTGGTCAACATGTTGATATTACACGCTGCCCCGTCATGGTCCGAGTCCCGCTGGTGATGTTGATAAGACCTAGGCGAGGTCGAAACTCCAGTCCATCCTGGATGAGAACACCTTCTGGGAAAGCAAGACGATGTGAAATTGAGTGGAAACGCCAGTTCTACTTATATCACTGTGGAAAAATTCAACTACCAGTCCTTCATCATCTTAAACCAAATAGGGTTAATACACCTATCTAGGACAATGACCATAATCATGTAACTCCAAAATTGAACAAGCGTCCAAAAGTAGACTAAAGTTATCCTAGAAGTGGGTTGACTTTGTTGTCACAAGTTGGTCTTGTTGTCAGCGGGACTTAGTAGAACGCAAGTAGTCCGAAGTCCTCTGCCATAGTCGTTATCATAATTCCCAGCATCAGATCCTTTTATAAATCGAAAGGAGACTACGACCATACCGGGGGCCACACCATTTTGGTCTTCATATATACGATTAAAGTTATCCTAGTTCATAGACGAAATCTAGTGAAGGTTTCGAAAACTACTCACTACTAAGTTAGTACCAGTCTCTCACCAGATGTATACTTAAAGAAAGC